TGCCTACATTCCAAACCATCTCCTACATTCACCTTCCTTTCTTCTCCTGTCTATTTTCACATACCCTCTCCTACATTATCTTACCATCTTCTACTTTCTTATTCCTCCTTCTACTTTAATCTTTCATTTTCTTTCCAGACTTCCCATTCTTTCTAACTTCCTCCTTGTCTTCCCTGGTTTATTACTTAGTATTTTTTTGACCTCCTTATTCTTATAATTTCATGATTTCCCCTTTAACCAACCTAGCCAGTTAAACTCACCAGTGTGGAGAAATCTTTTTCTTGTAATCATGTCCAGCTTAAATATACATTAAATTAAAAATTTTAAAAAGAAAAACCACTGTACTTGCTGTTTTACACATTTTTTAAAATTGCATACATAATTGGACAACAGGTTATTAAGCACACCTGCAACAAAAAATATCAGTTGAATGTATTGCAAAAAGAACTTAACTGTTGCAAGAGTAGGTCCAGTTCCTGTTTATTGATTTGATTTGATTTATTCCCTGTTCACCCTTTTTGAGCTGGGGGAAAAAAAAAGAAGTGTTGTGATTTCAGAAGGAAACAGACTTCTTTTGACTGTTCTGGCAAAAGCAGGCGTTAAGAATTCTTAATTGCCAAAACAGCTGGATCATAAATAACCAATGCAGTATGAATTGTTTTTTTAATCCTTCACAGGATGTCTCTGCAGATGTGATAATTAATCACAACAATCCCCTTTTCCTTTAAATCTTTTTGGATGAAACTATAATGGCTCTTTTGGACTTTTGGTTAAAGCTGGGTGGCTCAGTACTAAGCCTGCATATCTAGTATGCAGAAGGTGCTAGATTTAATTCAGGCATTTGGAGATACAAGACTATGGTCCAAAATACACTGCAGAAATAATCTAGTTTGAGACTGCTTTAACTCCCCTAGCTCAATGCTAGGGAATTCTGGGAACTGTAGTTCCTTGAGATCTTTAGTCTTCTCTATCAGAGAGCTCTGGGACCACAATAAACTGCAATCCCCATGCACTGATCCAGGACAGTTAAAGTGGTCTCAAACTGGTTTATTATTGCAGTGTGTTTTGGACCAGTGATCTGATTCAATAAAAGGCAGTTTCATTTATTCAAAATTTAATTAATAAAGAATGATGCTTTATTTGGCCTATGCAGACAGGGCCTTATTTAAGCGCAAGCTCCCTTACAGAAGCAGTTGCACTTTTTTGTCTGATATGGGATGTCTGTATTCAGTTAAAGGTTACAAAAGTGGAGTTGGTCATGAAATGCTACTGTGTATGTGATGCGCATACAGTGCACACACAGCGGGGATGCCTATGCAGATAAGTATATGTATTCAGTTGTACCTTAGCTAGTACAACTGAAGCTGAAGTTTGGCTTCATCTCTGCAGTGTTGCCATCCAACACAAGGGTTGTAAAGCCCAATCCATGCATAACTCCACATGTGGAGATTTATGCAGTACAACCCTGATGTAGGATCTAGGCTACGATGGCTATGTGTGCCTGTATAGGTGTATGAGAGAGTGAGATGAACAATGTGGATTTCCTGCTCTACTTCCTAATAATTGTTGTTGTTGTTGTTGTGCACCTTCAAGTCATTTGCAACTCATGGCAACCCTAAGGCAACCCATAGGATATTAAAATAATTAGCAAATGTAATCTCGGAGCCA